AACAGCTGTCTCATCTTCTACCCCTGTATTATATATCCAGGTCGTATTTAAAAAATCCAGAAAATTATTTGCTTAAAATATCCGGAAAATATCTGGAATTTTTTTCCCATTATTTTCCTCTTAATTTTCTTTTAGCTGAGTTGTATCTCAATTTTTTTGAGAATTTCTTTAATTTTTGTATGAGTGACTAAAAAGCCTTAAAAATCAAATAAAATGTATAGAAAACCTTATGGATATCCGGAAAAACTAATCTTGAAAAATATCCGGAATTCCGGGAATATCTGGAAAAAGATAATCCCTGATATATACATATATAATACACATGAATGTATAAATATGTTTCTTCCATTGTCAGTTAGGTGTATGAACATAGGTAATTTTCCGCCATCTTAAAAACTGTCCGTCTGTCAGATTGCCGACTAAGCTGTCATTGATATATGTATGCTTATCATATTATGCTACTGTGTTATATGTATGCTAATCATATTATGCTAATCATACTATATATGCTAATTAATAAACTTTTATTAAAAATAAAACACTAAACATCTTGCATGGAATATTTCTTGGCAACTAAGCCTATCAATTTTTTTGCATGTAGTGGAATTTTTTGAAACATAAAGTTGCTACAATACTCATAATTCTTTTGCATATTCAATTGAGTAAAATCGATATTTACCTATAAAAGGTAAGATATTATTTTGTATTTCTGTGGCAAACATTTAGTATGTGAAATATGGACATATGAAATAACACATAACAAATATTTAAAATACTTACCAATGCATCTGCTTTTAGATCCAAAAGAAGTTTAAAATTTGGAATGTCTTTGGTGCCAGATTGAAAACATTTCAACCTAAATTTTGAAGTTGATTTCCATTTATGGCACACTTCAGTCCATGGTTAACTATTAAATTTAAGCCAATTAAGGTCATCTTGAATTGCTTCTTCTATATAATTTTTTTAATGTTTAAAAATAAAACTAATAAAATACTAAAACTTTCTCCATTATATGATAAAAAACTGTGCAAAGATTTATACATTTTATCAAAATACAATCAAAAAAAAATTTAATAATTAACATAATGATATAAAAAATTTTCTAAAAATATAAAACTCAATATACTATTTATAATAACTAAACTATCTTATAAAGCATACTATCGCTACTATCATGTTCTTCATTGATGGCCGTTAGAATTTTTTAAAATACCCACTGATTTAATATTTCGCCATGTGTTGCGAAGCTTCTCGAACAACTTTCCACCAGCTATAGTTTTTTTACTCGTAGGAGCAGTATATCATGTTTCCTAATACAGAAGATATTAAACATATATATTACTAACAACGATTTCGTTAAAAATCATATAAATCACATCAACTCATAAAGTTTATAAGTTACTTACAAGCTTTTCTGAGGGAAAATGTGTAACAATGGCATTTGCTGATTCACAGACATCTGCATTAGTTGGACGATTTCTACAGAAAAATTTAAAAAGAATTTATATATCAAAAATAATTTTATCAAATTTTCATATGCATTTGCATTACTACAATGTTATAATTTTATATTTGTAACTTTAGTAATAAATAATAAGTAAAGACAATAATAAATAAAACTAATTTTGAAAATCTAATAACTTATTACTTACTGCAATCCTTTCTTTTGAATAATATGGTTGACTGCTATTCTAGCCAACTTACTGCGTAAACTAAAGGTTAGATTTAAAGCACTTAACACAATAATCCCATCTGTGCAAGAATTCAGGATGGGGTCTAAACCATTCTATTAAATTTATAAATAATATTTAAGTGTTACTAAACAAAATATAATTTATAATTAAAATCATCATACTTATGATACAAATGATATGTTATCAATAATGCAAATTAAGTATTATAATATTTTCAAACCTCAAAGAGAGTATTGTTTTTATGATGAAGTACAGTTTTTGATGCAAAAACTATTTTACCAGCTGTATCTTGAAATGGCTTAGCTTGTTGTATACACTGATTCTTGAATGGGCTTGTTACCTTGTTATTGTCCAAACTGAAGTCTATTTCACTTTGGCTCAAAGTAGCTGATTCTATAATCAAATTCACATAGGTTGCATTATTCACATAGGATGCAAACAGTATTACTAGTATTGTGAGAGTGAGAAACATTATTACATAAAAAAATCAAGTGTTTAAGTATTTTTAAAAATGTTATAGCCTCTTTTAAATCTTTTATTATTAATATGTAAGACAAATACCAAAGTTAGCATATCCGTTTTCTTTCTTACAGTTTTGGGGTTCAAATAACACGATTGACATACTGAGAGAGGCTAAATATTATTTATATACTATTAGGTATAATTTTGATAAAAATATTATGTATATAATATTAAAAACAAAAAAACGAGTAACATGTAATTTGGTGATTTGCTATTCGTAACTTTTACCACTTTTACTGTTAGGTGAATTTTTAAACACATGACAAAAAAGTATAAAAAAATAACTGTACTGGATAACGTGTTTAGTATTGCATTGCTCTTAGAGAAATGAGCTAACTCAATATCTTCAACAAGATTCAAATTGTCTTCCACTAAAGTATACAAAATTGTGTAATATGTAATATTTCCATAATTATTTAGAAATGTTATAATATAAAAATACTTGTTCAAAATACCTTTATGTAAAACTGGTGCATGATCACAATAGGCACACAAATCAAAACCTTTCTCTTTTGTGTATTCATCACAATCACACCCTGCTTTGAGACATTGCATTCTACTTCTCCCTTTTTTATCCTTCATTTTTAAAAACACTATAAAAATGAGGAAAAATAAAGTAACAGAAAAACAACTTTACTTAATCATTTTATAATCAAGTTTTTTATTTGATTATATAAAATTATTTAGAAAAAACAACACTAAATGAATAAGCAAACCCATAAATGAAGTAATGTAAATATATCATTTTAAAAGTTATAGCAAAAAAAATACTTATCTATAATATAATAATTTTGTGGGTTATATATTAAAATATAAAATAATATAATTTATTATTTTAAATAAATGATTAACATCAGTTCACTAAAAACAAAATAAATTACATTTGTTTAAAACTTAGAGAAACAAAAAAAAGAGCAGTATTGAAAAGTTCGTTTTTTCAAAAGGAAAGTAACCTTTGCAAACTAAAATAGAAATGAAAAAACTAAAAATATTCAGATGAATTCAGATGGCAATAATATCTTACATACTACTTATAAAACTTATTTAGTTTAAGGTAAAGACATTGTTTAAAAAATTTCAAATTTTTTGTTATAACAATTGAGACTTGTTTCCTTGAAGGTACCTATAGTTCCTTTCATGACACAAATTTAGAATGAGTATAACTAAAAATTTAGAATACTACTAACATTGTCTTTACTCCAAATTAAATAGATATAGTATCTTTTTAATTTGGAGTAAAGACATGGTTAGTAAAATTTATAGGTAGTATGTCATTTCTCCTTTGAAAAACAAGGCTTTTCAATTTTGCCCTAAAGAATATAAAATACTTACACAACTTTTTTTTATTAAAAAGAAAAAAATTAAATAAATTTAAGTGCTACTAAGTTAAATGCTGCCAGGATCAATAGTTATATTTTGTGAATTAATGACAAGTATTTACTTTTATTTAAATTTCGTAGTTTCAACGGCCAAGGTGAAATAATGGTATCAAAGTGAGAGCAATTTAAAACAATTAATTCTGTTTCAATGTCAACCTCAAAAGATTGTAAGTGATAGCATTCAGTTATAATAAACAACTTTTGACAAATCAAATAAATTAGTATCAGATACGAAAATTTGTTTGATTAGACAAAATGCAGGATATAATTCTTCAACTGCATATATAACAACATCACCAATTTTAAAGCTAACAAAGTTAACAGAAACACACTTTGTCTGAAAAATTTCTCTGTACAACCCATAATTACCAATCAACTCTGATATAGTTTTTCCATCAATCACATGGCATAGTAAAATAGGTTCAGTTTTAGTAACACAAAATTCATTATTTTTTAAGCCATGTTTTGCCATGAATCGAGTTGACTGATCCATTTGGTGTCTAATAGCTACTGTTTTACAAACATTTTTAAAATTTCCTACAGACGAAGCAGTTCTCTTAAAACCTCTTAATTTACCTTCGCAACGCATTACCCACATATGACTTAGCGGGCCAAGCATTTTAATAATAAGTGGATAATGAATAAGGTTATGAAACTTTAAAGTTAAGCCACACTTAAATGCAAAACAGTATTTTTGTAAAAATTCAGTAATGAGAGAACCAAAATGTAATAAATCAGGTTTGCTAAAATACAAACCAAATGAGTAAAGGACAATTTGTCTTAACAATAAAAAAACAACACAAACATTGTCTTCAAAAGGAACTAAATCTCCAACTAATAAAGGAAAGCTTAAAACCAAATTTAGCATTTCAATTGCACCAATATTAATTGAACCATTTTTTATTTGATACTCAGTGAGACATGAAGGAATTGACGAGTGATCATATGAAAAATTTCTCATTCTGCTATTTATGTCACCTAGATTAAAGAACTTTTTCTGAAATACTAGATAGTTTAACATTTTTTGAAAAACATTTTTACAAATGCCTTTTAACAAATCGTGCATAATATCACAATAAATATTATCATTAACATGAAATGATGGAATTTTATTAAAGCAACACTTTTCCTTTATACCATTTAGGAAACAATTATGTAAAGAAACATCATAATCATAACAATCTCTAGTTCTAAGTAATTCGACAGATTCAACAAAAATACTGTCAAAGTCTTTATGTTTCATTTTGCATATTCTGCATGGGTATGTTGCAGTAAAACTTTCTAGATAACCTAATATTCCATTTAAACCAAGATTGTCACCAATAATTTGAGCAAGAACAACATATATTTTAAATTTATTGCAATCTATTTTTATAGTAAAACCTTTTGTTTCTAATTCTGTCATTTTTTCTATGTATAGTTCATTTTACAAGAGGTAGTAGAAGATTATTTTATTTTTAACTACTTTCTTATTTTGTAATGTGGTTTTTTTTTTAGAACAATTTAAGAGTATGATTTAATTAATAACTGTGTGAATCTTCTTGGTTGATGCCTAAAAGATTTTTTGAAGGCAGTTCTACATTTTATTGAAATATAAAAACATGCCAATATCCCAAAAATTATTCTGCGTAATGTTTTTTGGATTGTTTGCATGTAAAATTAAAAATTCAGTCATTAATTGTGAAAAAGAATAATTGGCTAATTAGTTTAAAAAGTTTCAATGGTGATGATTGATTGGTGAGAAACTTATTTACTTTTTATGTTTTAATTACATGATTTGTAAATATTTATGATATGATTTGTTTGTGAGCTCAGTATAGTAAAGTTTTTATTTCTACATTTGTATTACTTAGCACAAATATTTTATAATTTTGTCTACAGATTGGTTTGTAATAGCCTTAATTATCTTATTTACTTAATGTTCAGTATACTGTTATGTTGTTTTTAAACTAGATAAAATAGTTTTTTAAAAAGAAAATGACTGCTGGCTCTATATGAATCTAATTTAAGTTTACTTCTTTGGGAATTTTATATCATTTATTAAGTTTATTGTATTGGTAACTTTTTTATTACTAAAAAAAGAATTTTGTTACACAAAAAAAAGTGTAAAATGCATAACATCCCAGCTATTACAATATATTGGAGGGCTTTTATTGGAAATGTTTTTTTTTTAACATTTTCATTTCCAACAAGACTGCAAGCACCTACTATTAAAGAAAAGATGAAATTTATAGAGTAAAATAACAACTAAGAGAAAAAATTAATAGATAGCGAATTATATGAAAAAAAAACAAACAAGCTGAAGCAAGTGAAAAAAGTGAGTAACACTATAGTGAGTTTTAGTAGATGATACAAGAGACGCTAGCTCTTTAGAACAGTGCCCATAATTGTATTTATAAAAAATAAAAAGAGAAGCAACATGATAATATTCTAATGGTTGGAGGTTGGCTGCAAAGGTCAAGGTGCAAAAACAATTCTTTTTTGTACCTTGTCTAAAAGAGAAAGGCCATTACTGGAAGATCTGATTAAGAGATGGCAAAAGTGTTCCATGCAGGGATGGATGTAAGATTTATAGAGATAAGACATAAATATTTATAGAGATGTTTGAATTGATGTATACTTTTAAATTTAATATTGTATCATAAGTTGACAATATATTCAAAGACTGAAATTTAGCACAATTGTTTTAAGCAAAAGGTCTTTGCACACCACCAATTAAGCATTTATATTTCAAGAGTTGTTTATTGATAAAAGCTTGTCTTAATTTTCATAAATAGTAATATTTGTAGATATTATTATCTACTAGATAATAATTTATATTAAAAACTAACCTTTATATGTCTCGTTTTCAAATATGTTGTGTTGATATATTTGCCCTGGCTTTTAGTTTATGACTCAAAATTTAAACATCAATTCTTGAGGTTTAACTATCTCATCATTTCTAAAAGTATCAAGGGTAGACAGCCTAACAGCCATACCTAATCAAAACAAAAGAACATTATAAATTCGTATCTTTCTAATTTTATGAATAATTTTTATTTAAACATTAAAACAATTTTTTGCTTGAAATCTAATGCATAAATTTCAAAAAACAAATTAAAATTAAATAATATTAATAAGAAATTATGCAAATCTTTTTTTTTTATCTATAACTTATTAACTTGTAGTGCAATTATAATTTTTATGCAAGATTTTATACCTTTTTGTCGCAATGTAACTCAAGTCTCAGCTAGAATACCAAATGAATAAATAATTCTAAACTATATGCATTTAATTCTATACTAAAACTATATACATAAACTCTAAACTATATACAATAAGTTTTTTTTACTTATTTAATCTAATAAACTCTAACTGTAACTATAACTCTCAGGTAGAATATCAAATAAATAATTCTAAACTATAACTAACTTATAATTATAAAATTATTAACAGTTTAAAAAAAAATAAAATCCAAACGCTAAATAATCTATAATATAACATTGAGATAATAACAAAATCAGAAAAAATTTCAATAAATTTCAGTTGTTGTTGCTGTTGAACTTATCGCGATACTCGATTTCCCGGTTTTCGTTTTCAAACTTTTCGCTTTTACGTTCTTTCGCTTTTAAACTTTTCGCTCTTACCTCCCATTACCCATGAAAATAACAAAAACAATTTTGTAAATTTAACCAAATAAATTTGTTATATTTTGCGTTAAGACAAAAACCGGAAAGATCATCAAACCAAATGAATTGGTTAAAATAACAAAATCAATTTGGTAAAGCTCACAAAAGATTTGGTATATTTTACTAAACAAGTTTGTGACTTTTACCAAATTTACTTAACCAAACATATTTGGTTAAATTAACAAAACATTTTTTTGCAGTTTACTACGCGTGTAACCTTACTTTGGTTTATATGTCCGTAGCATGTTGCAGCAAAAAATTTAACACCTTTTTAAACCAATTCAATAAGCAGCCATATTAATCCAATTTTTAAATGGCCTATTTACCTCACTTAATAGAAGTCTGATTGAAAATTTGGCCAATATTCTTCTCAAATATTTGCCAAGCAATAGCTAGCGTTTAAAAAATCTGAAAAGACAAATTCAATTACATGTGAAAAACATTCAACAACAAGAGAAGTATTGTTTTAACTTTTTTGTAACAAACATTAAAATGTCAGGTTAAAATTGGGCTGGAAAAAATATGTAGAGTGGGACACCGTATCTTTTTATTTTAGCTCATTTCTCTTTTTTAATATAGCCGTTTAGCAGCCGTTTAGCAGCCATAGCGCAATGGTCAGTGTGCTTACCTCGAGCTAGAGATCCAGGGTTCAACGCCACTTTTGGAAAAGCTTTATAACATCGGTAAGGAAGGAGGCGCGAACTTGCTTTTAAATACTCTTCCGCCGTGGTCTATAATAAGACCGTAAGGGTTTCTTGGAGCATCTAAAATTAAAATCGAAAAAAAAAAAAATACTTTCAGCTTTTCATTAAAGTTTAATTAAATGTAATAATTCTTGATTTGTGGCTTGTTACTGTCAATTACTAGCAGTTATAAATACATTTTTTGTACTTTTTTTATTCCTTAAAGTAGATCATTCTTGCTATTCAACACTAGTCATGAATAAATGCAACATATCCAACAACTGAAATACAGTATATATCTTTTCAAATAAGAGTCAAATATGACAACAAAATGCTAAAAATAAACTGTGGTTTAAAAAAGTACCGACAATAAAGTCTGTTGTCGTAGGAGCTCATGACGTTAGAATAATAGGCAAGCAGTCCAGGTCATTGTCCTAGGGAAAGAGGGGGTAATTTGGCCACAAAAAAAAAATCCGCTTTTTCTTTCTTTAGATAAACCACTGTTTTATTTGATTATTCAGAATGTTTTTAGGAAAGTTTGCTAATAAATATTTTGAATATATCTGTATATAAATATCTTGATATCATATCTTTAGTATATTCTTTTTTTAATAAAGACTTTTATAAATTTAGCAAACTGCAATATAAAATTGAGCTATCTAGTTTTCGAAGATGCAAAACAATCAATAATCTTTTCGACATTTATAATGCAATCTCTATGGATATGCATCATAGCTAAGCAATTTAATCTTTCTGATCCTATACTGGATCTTAACCAAATTTTAAGTCTTTTTAAAACTAAGAAATTCCGTTCTCCCAAAACAACGCTAACAGGAAGAGTGCAAAGTAATTGCAAATCACATCACATTATTGTATACTTCGAGCGCAAATTTAGGTAGATCTTGTTGCTTTTTGATTGTTTCTTTCCATTTTAGCTCCCAAATTTAAAATTCTGAAAAAACTTTTGTTAATTGGACATTCTCATCAACAGTATTTTTATTGGGCAGGCCTTTCGTTAAACTCAGTATATTAGTTATGGATGCTGTTTACTCTGTTTTTGTTTTATTTAATAAATTTCTAGGTATTGGTACATTTAATTCAAAAGAGTTCAAGGTTTCATTAGAAAATCTAAACTCTAAATCTAGAATTATGCTATCAAGTAACGGTAAACAAACATTGACTTTATAGTAAGTTAGAGGGTCATTGATATTAAGGTTTGCATGATTAGTTTGTTTTTCTGTAATTCGTGGAATCTTGATTTTTAAACCTAAGTCTTCTAGTAACTTTGATGCATTCATAAATATAGCATTAAAGTTTCCTTCATTCTGTCGTCTTTTATTTAATATCTTTATGGTATGTTTAAAAAATAATTTTGGCATATTCTTTATACAATAATTTTTTTTTGAAGAGCCTTCTTAAAGAGACTGTGTTATTCAACACATTGATTAATGAATAAATTGTTATTATCAATAAGGATTCAGGTATTTTGAGAAATCCCGTTCTTGCCGCTGAGATATAAAATCAAGTATTTTCTATATTCATTAAACAAAATCTAAAACTTAACACAGAATCATACCGTTTAATCCATCTCGTTTCGTATAAGCTTGTAAGCATTCCCTTATTTATATATTTAAAAACGTTACTTCGCTTCGGCGAAGCTTTAAAAAATGATAATACTTCTTTCATTGTGCCAATTGTATTTCTTACAGCTCGCATAGACGAACATCTGGAAATAATTAAGTCTAAAGCATGGACTTTTTATTGCGTTTGGTACGATCTTCTGTTTCGTGACTGCTCCGTTGTTTTCGCTTAACATAAGGCTACATTCACAAGTATCTATACTAACACAACCCTTTGAATTGAAGCCAAAAAATTTTAAAAATTATTCTGATTTTACTTACAGGTTCATAAGTAAAATCATAATAATTTTTAGTATAATAGTTTACAAAACCAATAAAATCTTCACGGAATTCACAGGAATTATCATTAATATATCTTAATACAACTGCCATTTAAGAACTATGAATGGTATCCGTTTTTTCATCAAATATAAC